GGAAAGATGACCAACACATAAGCAACCTTCTCAGAAGCAGCTGCTTAACAACTATATGAAACAATTCCAAAAGAAGTAACATCCATTAGCATCATAAAACAATGCTTAAAACTGTAATAATGCATTTCAAGTTCCAAGAACAAGAAAAAGGTACCAAACCTCTACCGTATTAGTAATCTGAAAATTACCAATCTGTCTCACACCAGAGACAGGCATGCCACGAATTTATTCAAGACTCGGCAAACCTAAAGGTACTTAACTCTTGAAAGGCAAATCTTTCGTGACAGGACCTGATGCGCTTTGGTACTCAATTGAAAGGGATTACTGAAAATGCCAGAACAGAGTTTGGAAGGCACTGAGTAGCTACCATTGACCACGCTGTACCTGAGACGGAAACGGGCCCCTATGTCTGCAGAAGCAGCTAGTTGCAATATGATCAGAGAGAATTTTTAGCCAAATTCTCCTTTAGGGAAATGTTCAGAAGCCTTGGTGTGAGAAAGAAATAGACTTGACTATTGAGAAGGTTGTGCAAAAAATGCCTGTGTTGGCGAATGAAACAACAGTGGAGATGGTGAAGTTAATGGAGCCAAGTGTTCCAGTGGGTTTCAAACTGCTCCTGGCACAGAGAAGAGTACACAGCAGCAGAACATGGCATGCAAAATTTAAAAAAGAAATGTACAGAATTTAAGGAAAAAAAGCACTGGGACAGCTGAAGGAAACTGTGAGTCTTAGAAGATACAAGTGACTAGGAAAACTGTAAATGGTAAGGCACAATACAAGTAAATGCAATTTTAGCTAGAATAGCCAAAACAAAAGGTGCTTGAAAGATCTGGTAAGATTAAGGTAACGCAAAAACTAAACTCAATAAATGAAGCCGGCAATGTACAAGTAAAAGCTGCAGCTTTGGATTGTAGCAGAATATTGCCCCTGCCACATTCTGTATTTTCAGCATTACTGGATATCCTCACCCCACAGCAACGACACACGCACTGAGATGACATACCACTTCCCCACAGCCTGTCTCAATGAATGTTATCTTAGAAACTCTGATGGTACTTTGACAGCGAGTGTGCTTGTTCTTTTACAAGATTACTTTTTAAATAACTTTTAATAAAGAAAAAACAACTTAAACTTCTGTTGATTGACTATAAATGTCACATCAGATCTCCTCTGGAGTCTTCAGTAAGTTCAGTTCTGCTTTCCAAGCACCTGTGCGGGATGGCCAAATACAGCCAAGAAGAGACCAAGTCCCCTGCAAAAGGTGTCACCTGTCTGTCAGACAGCTACCCTTTAACGTCTGCTTCACCATATTGTACAGGTAGGTTGTTTGTTGCCAAAATAACCTAGTCATTGTTACCTACGAGAGACTAACTGGATTTTTTTTACCTGTAGCAAGCCACTTCTGTAAATGTTACATTTACGTAAATTCTGTAAAACAGAATTCATATTCTTCACAGTACGTATTTCAATAAATTGCTTTGTTCTTTACACTGCTATGCCTTGACGATTTATAAATAATAGGGTCACCAGGTGCCAGAACTGATTGACATGGTGACATACTGTTAGAAGCCCGAGGCTAAACCTGGGGTGCTCAATTAGTCTGTCACTCAAATTACTTCTAAGGAAGAAAATCCTGCATCAACAAAGAGATTAGGCCAGCACAGGGTACTTTATGCTCGGTTCCTCTCAATACTTTCAGAACTGGCAGACACAAGAATTTAACCTACTACATCTCTTTTTTGTCCCATGTTGAGGGTGGCTTGTAGATTCTGCGAAGTGGTTTGCAGAGGCTGAACGCAAATGAAAAAATGTCAGTTTAACTGTCGTAAGAGGCGCTGCATAAAGCAGTACAAGAACAGAGGCAAGAAAGATCATAAAATCATGGAGTAGTTTGGGTTGGAAGGGACCTTTAAAGATCATCTAGTCCAACCCCCCTGCCGTAGGCAGATCTCCAACTAGATCAGTTGCTCAGACCCCCGTCCAACCTGACCTGAATGTTTCCAGGGATGGGGCATTTACCACCTCCCTGGGCAACCTGTGCCAGCGTCTCACCACTCTCATTGTAAAAAATTTCTTCCTTATACCTAGTCTAAGTCTACCCTCACTTAGTTTAAAACCATTCTCCCTTGTCCTGTCGCAACAGGCCCTGCTAAGAAGTCTGTACCCATCTTTCTCATAAGCCCCTTTTAAGTACTGAAAGGCCGCAGTAAGGTCTCCCCAAAGCCCTCTCCTCTCCAGGCTGAACAACCCAGCTCCCTCAGCCTTTCCTCGTAGGAGAGGCGTTCCGCCCCCCTGATCATTTTCGTGGCCCCTTCGATATTACTCTGCGACCCGGGATTCAAAATAATTACCCCGTTTTTTACAATTACTTCCGCTCGGACATTGACACAAGCGTCGATTTAGAGGCAGGCGCCCGGCCCGGCCCCCGCCGCCCTTACCCTCCTGCAGCAGGCGGGTGGGTCGGACCGGCGG